CCATTCTCCTGTGATCCTTTTAAAAATTGTAGCTAATTCGCGAATTCCCTGTGAATATTAATTATTCATTAAATTGCGCACAGCTCTCATAAATAAAAATCTGTGATAAATTTCTGCTATTCCACACACGACGATAAATCAGATAAACATAACCACAAGAATGCAATGACTGCAGATTAATTACATAAGTACATGCAACCGAGAGGGGGTGGGTCACGCCGATATGAATTGACTATTGACTTTTTCAATGTACCCTTTCCTATAAGAAGAGACGAATGACTATTTGATTCTAGTAACAAAAAAGATAATCATGAGGGGTGACACAATTTTTTTGCTGACTGTTTGGATCGCTTGCGTGTTCGCAAGATCTCCCCCACAGCTCGGTAAATATTATCAATAAAAGAATTTATAAATCTGTCTAATAATTCACAATTTTTCCACTGAAAAATCCTGCGATTCGTCATTGGTCACCGAAATTTCCATTTTTCTCCAGGATGTGAGGATAGGATTTGCCCTGGACCCCTGAAATTGTACAAAGAATTAGGATGCACCCCGATAAAACAAAACCCAGATGATTGCTGTGCGATAAAATACGATTGCGATCATTTACAATCCAGACCGAACGAGAAATGTCACGCTTTCGGGCAAGAATACAATCCTGGTGAAACCCTCGCCAGGGAAAGTACAAGCTGCTATCCACGATGTACTTGTATTGGAATAAATGAGAAGACGTGAGTATTGCAATTAAAATTCTTCTTCCCAATTTGATAATTAAATTCTTCAGAGCTGCATGGGCATGTGCCACTATTCACCCCGTATTTTACATCGCCGCTGGCTGCTATCTTCCACGAAACGCCACAATGTGCTTCCCAGGATCTGAAATTTGTCGTAAGTCCTGCATGACAATTTTATAACTCCAATGATTTATAACTGAATTGATTGACTTGACTCACCTGATTCACCTGATGCAGCTCCGAATCCTGATGACAGGCCAAAGTGTGAAGTTGATGGCAAGACCTATTATGATGGTGAATATTTCGAGCCCCAGGGAAAACCGAAGAAGGCATGCTGGTGTGGTCCTGGTTACAAAGGTCTCAGTCTCAATTCAATTCTCAATTTTTTATTTAATTAATTCCTTCAATTCCATGAAATCACTAACCTGAATTCACTATTTCCAGGGGAAAATGTCATGCCGTTCTGCCGAGAAATGCAGAAAGAAAAGTGTGGATATGAATTATCAGGGAAATTAAAACTTGAAGAACGTTGCGCTCCAGTATGGAGAGTTGAACAAGATCATGAAGTTGAGTGCAGTACCATGTGGCGATGTGGTGAGTTGAAATTC